GCCCGCGGCTCCTCCTGACCCTGCTGCCCGGGAATCAGAGGCCCTGCTGGTCCCCCCGGCCCCCGGCCAGGTGTCTGTCTGTTTATGGCATCAGTCCAGCCAGGGTCCGGCAGCAGATGGGTCTGTGTGCGCACAGGTGTGTGTCCCCGTGAGCACACCTCCACCTGCACCCTCTGCGCCCCAGGTTTCTGAGGCCCTTTGGTGGGTCAGCCCCGTGACTGTGCTGTGGCGCCCAGCCTGGCCCCCAGCGGTCAGCGCGAGCAGCTTGATCTCAGACCCTTGCCCTGCTCGGTGGGGAGGGGGGGTCGCAGCCGGGGAGGGAGCAGCCGGGGAGGGGAGGGTCGCAGCCGGTCCCCAGACTCGAGTGCTTTCCCTGTCCGCCCAGGTAGCAGCTCTTGGAGCTGTGGGCGGCGCCTCCCTCCCTCCCTCCCTGTGCTGCGGTCAGACACGGTGTTCGTCCTTTTCCTCTGGGATCGCCACCCAGTTGCTTCATTTCCTTCTTTCCTTCTCTTTTCATATTAAACTGCTCTGTTGATAATTTCAAAACATTTTTTCCTCCTACACGATCAACAGGAAATTACCTGGCTTAAAGTCTGTCGATTTTCTGAATAACCTCATTGGTTATTTAGAGGAATAAAATACTTCTGTATCACTTTGTTTTTTTTGCTTTTTTGTTAATCCTCACCCCCAGGTATTTTTTCTATTGATTCTTTTTAGAGAGAGTGGGGGGGGGGTGGAGAGAGAGAGAGAGAGAGAGAGACATCAAAGCGAGAGAGGCACATTGATTGGTTGCCTCTCCCACACGCCGTGACCAGGGCCAGGGATCGAGCCTGCCACAGCTACATGCCCTTGACTGGACTCGAACCCGGGACCCTCCAGTCCATGGGCCAACACTCTAACCACTGAGCAACCAGCTAGGGATTCACTTTGGTTTTTAAGGGAGCAGCTTGTAAATTGTAGTTGTGGCCTTAAGTTCAGAGATTGGTCTTTGGACTTGCCCAGACGCGTGTGCCCTGCAGGGACCGACCGGCGGGACAGCCCTTGTCAGCGGGCCTGGGAGGACGCGGCTGCTCCCCCGGAGCCGGCACACTCGGTGGGACCCGCTCCCGCGCCTGCGCCTTTCGGGTCCGTCCACCTCGCTGATTACAGCCCGTGGGGCCTGTGGCTGGGGGTGTGGTCCGGGGAGAGAGGCCCTATGCAGAGGCCCCAGCAGGACGCGAGCAGCCAGCCCACCCGGAGGTTGTGGGGACGCTGTATGGAAGCCGGGGCGGGGGCGGGGCCAGGCCGTGGCCACGCCCACACCCAGGAAGTAGCCCAGAGGCAGGAGGGCTGCCGGGTGTCCTGGACACCTGAAAGGTTGCGGGGTCAGCCCCTGGTCAAGGGCATACAGGAGGCAATTGACCGACGTTTCGCTCTCTCCCTTCCTTGCTCTAAAACCAAGAGGACATGTCCCCGGGTGGGATTTTTAAAAAGCAAAGAGGAAACAGGATGGTCACGGGGTCTTGCAAAGCTCAGGCTTGGCCTCTGGTGCGGGGCTGCGGGTCCGACAGCTGACCTTCCGCAGGCCCTGTCCGGGCTGGGGCTGCCGCCCCCTCCGGGAGGCCCGGATGCTGAGAGCAGGGCTGGGTCCTCAGGGGGCTCTGACCTCCCCTCTCTCCTAGTGCCCCCGGTGCATGCAGTGTGATGCCAAGTTTGACTTTCTCACCAGAAAGGTGAGCTGAGGCCGTGGGCGGGAGGGTCCCCGACATCCACTCTCCCAGGGGGTGCCCTGCTCGGAGCCAGTGGGGCGCAGCGCGGTGGGCCCGGGTGGGGCCGTGCATCCCGCTCACTGCCCGCCCCCTCGCCCCCAGCACCACTGCCGCCGCTGCGGAAAGTGCTTCTGTGACAAGTGCTGCGGCCAGAAGGTGGCGCTGCCGCGCATGTGCTTCGTGGACCCCGTGCGCCAGTGCGCGGCCTGCGCGCTCGTGTCACGCAAGGAGGCTGAGTTCTTCGACAAGCAGCTCCGCGTGCTGCTCAGCGGTACGTGGCCTCGCACGGGTGGTCCTGGCGGTTCCAGTTGTTTATTTATTCTTCAGTAGCCTTTTAAAAAATAGATATGTTTTTGCCCTAGCATTCTGATGACGCTTTCTGCTTGAAAACTGGATGTAGTATGTATGTATTCAGTTGATATTTCCTTGAGGTGTCCACTTGAATAACCTGTATGTTGTTTTTTGTT